TATCGCTGAAGTAACAGGAAGTAATTCGTCGTTGTGTTTTTTCCAGGATTCTGATTGGCTAGCATGGTTTTATGCTTCTTGTTACACTGCCCCCTACAGGTTCGGCAGCTCATAGCAGCTCTGAACGCCGTGTTTGTGTCAACGAAGATGTTTTTTGAAAACGATCTGGTGTGAACGATGTTATTTTTGAAAACGTAAATCCGTTTTTGTTCTGCTATGTGCAAACGTGGCCTTAGAAATGATGCACTTATTAGGAGGTGATGCATCTCATGATGTTGAAGCTGCTTCTGTTTTATACTGAAAGCAAAGAAAAAACACATAAACTATTGTTTTCTGTGAACTCCACTTCATCCACAGACACTAGAGCCGACTGCAGCTAAAAAGAAAAACCCTCAGATTGCGGTTTGTTCTGAGGAACATCTGGACGCGAGCGGCAGCCACTGAAACGCTCCCATCTAATTTAACACCACATTGGTCCTGAAGTGCTGATGAATTCACAGCGGCGGCGAGATATTAGGAGGGAACATTATCTGTGCCATTAAAAGCTGAGAGATCATTTTTATTTCACTTCAGCCAAAGAGATTTAAAATAAAAAGAACTTTTGTGTTTGTAATATTTGAAATAACAGAAAATAAAAAATCCTTCTCGGAGCGTAATCTCACTCGACAGACGCTGGTGATGAGGTAATAAAAACAATCCAACACCGTAACTCGTTATTATTATTACGGGTTTTCAGGAGACACAGTTTCCATCAAAGTTTTAAAGCTGTAGTTAAAGGATAACGCAGCGCTCATCATTTGACTGTAATCGTTGTTTTTTCTGTGATTTTTTTTTTTTAATCTCTCACTCGGACCAACCACAACAGAAGCGTTAATAAATCTGTGGAGAAATGGCCGCACAGCCTCCAGTGCTGCTATCTAATTAAAATCCAATATTATCTCTTTTACAACTGATTGAACTAATTAGGAAGCAGCGAGACGGAGGAGGAAGAAGTAAGATGCTCTAAATGAAGTAAATGTGCCGAGACGACAGTGAGCAGTACAAGTTAAAGTTCTGCTTCAAGGTATCAGAAGGAAAACGCCACTCTGACCGATTATGTATAGTTTAATTTACCAGGCATTATTAGATTGTTTAACTTTATCATTTGGTAGTTTGAGGGTCATGATGATGCTGATTATGGAGGATGAATAAGAAAGTTCTGCTGCACAACATCTGGATTTTTTGGGGGGGCTTGAAGTGATTACCTACATTTAAAAAAAGAAAACATGTCAAGGGGCTAAACTAAGGAGTCACAAGCCCAAAGTCACTGTCTGACACTTAATGTGTTGTATTTTATAGGTCCATTACGAGTTACTGGTAACTTCACATGTAAAAGAAGAACAACAGAGTCAGCAGCACGACGTTTGCCTACAAAGTGAAATCAGTGTTTAAAGTAGAAGAAACGACTTTAGTCCAGAACA